TCTCTCTCTCTCTCTCTCGCCTGCTTGGCATGAATTATCTCATTGAATACGTGATGGCATGGGTCAATCCAGAGTGGCATGCCACCGTGGTTTCCGGGGTTTCGATTTGAAGCTTGGCTCGGCCCAGGAAGACTACTTGTGGCCCGTGTTTCACAACATGAAGATTTTCGATGCCACCATCACCGGTGACCATGCGGCTTTCCAGCACCAGTGGGGCATGAACAGACACAGCGCAATGTCTCAAGCACACGTAGCACGATACCGTGACGGGCCTGGTTGAAGTTCCACAAGCGTTTCATTGAAACAATTAAGTCTTCTGGCTCTGAGGAGTACGAATCCTTCGACAAGGCACTTTGGAAGAGTTTTCTAAACCTGAACAACGCGTACGCGGAGGTGATTACCACGCACGGACTCTTGGCAGCAGCATTGCAGGTTTCGGCAAGATACTCTATAGTAGCATGAGCTGCTTTGCAAGCAAGCACTTCCAGAATCTGAGAGAGGCAAGAAACAATCCTTGAAAGCGTGCTTCTGGCTGCTGACATTGATACACAGCCTGCCTGTCTAAAGTGCCCGAGACACTCGACCACACGGGCCTTTGGCTGCTCTTCCGAGGCGATGAGAACACGCTTGTTTGGATCCACGACTACGAGCTCGAGCCTTCGCCTGCACACCATGAAGACTGACAATGCTGACAGACCCTAGTTTCACAGTTGACCAGATCCCCTTGCAAAGCCCGGGCTATGTGCATCTTGCCGACTTGTGTGGGAGCAGACACCTGATGGCCGGGACCAACGCAGAACGACTGCTTGTCCACTCCATCTCTCGGCTAAGGTGATGGTCCCCCGCTTCGTCTATCACCGTGGCTTCGTTGCAAGCGTGCTGCCGCGAATGTCCAGCTCGATACAAACTCCATTTCTCGCCACTGCCTTCTTTTCGCTTCTTGCTCATTGACTGCATTATTTGAAACTGAGGCAATCCAGACTTCACCACTGGTCTTTTTCTTCATTGTGCGTTTCCTAGCACCGAGGTGGGACATTGCGAAGGGGGGCATGCACAAACGACAGAACCAGACGACCAAGCAGGGACAACAGAGAGATCGAGAGACGCGCGCTCAGAGCGCGCATTGTGTCGGACGGTACAGGCAAAGAGATTCGCTCGCCTTCCAAGTTGGCCAGGTGATGAGCTGTTTGCCCGTCCGAGAGGACATCCTCCAGGGCATGCTGAGCAGCAGGCCGGCCCGTGCCTTTCAGTCGCCCTTTCACCGCAACCTCTTGCCGCCCGCAGGCTGGTGACCTTCCAGACCTTTGACTACTTGAGGCGAGCCGGGAGCAGACACCTCCCGCCTTGCCTTGGGACCTTGCAGTGCACGGGTGGCCGTGGTCCACAACGGTCACGAATGAAACACATGTCCGTCTCCGCGAGTGCAGATCATCCTCGCTCCGTACGAGGCACTTCATGTCCTGCTGCTCCTCGGTGCTGGGAACCCGCCACTCCTTTCAGAAGGGTGGCATCCTGCAGGCAGGAACCGGAGCGCTGGATTTTTGACGTAGTGGGCGCTCCTCTAAAAAAGCAGATGAATGCAGATAATGATGTGATATGATGTGATCTTTCAGTTCTCAAGGTTCGGTGTTTGGCTCGCCTGCGGGCCTCCTTGCCTGGCTGTCGGTCTGAATAATTGGGCTTCATGTCGTCTCCCAGAAGTCGCCGTCCCGTGACAGGGCCGACCGTTGCGCAGCCATTTGTAGTAAGACAACCTCCACTCGGCTGCGCCATGGGGGTGCAGCTATGTGGGCAGAGGTGGACTGGTTGCAACTGCCAACGATCATCCAAGACCCTGGGCGGAAGCAGGAACTGCGGCCACTTCTCCAGGCCAGGGAGTTGCGAAGCTTCTCTGGGTCAATGTGTGTAGGCGCGAACGCGTGCCCTGTAACAAACACTATCGCGAACTGCACCTCCAGGCGGCCGTGGACACGTTGGATGTGCCACTTTCGACTCTCTGCGGTGCAGTTGACACTTGACCTCAACATACGCTTTCGTGCAGGTGTCGCAGAATTGTATTGTCTTGCTGGTCTGCCGGCCGACCACTCAGGACTTCTGCGTCTTGGGCGTTTTTGTGCTGCAGGTTCAGGCGATATTTGGTCTGACCCTTGCCGCAGCCTTGGGCCGCGAGGAACTGCAAGCCCTGATGAAACGAAGTGTTGAAGACATGGTGCCGGTTCTGAGCAGGTACCTTCCTCAACAGCAGACAACACTGCAAAGTGAGTTTGGTGCCGAACGAGGAGCTGACACACTGCCCAAGGTTGCCATGCAACTGCTGGGCCGGCTTCTTCACTCTCTCGCAGACCTGCCCACACAGGAGCAGTTCTCCTTCGGGAAGAACTGGAAGCAATTCATCGAGAAAGGCCGCCTTTCCGCCGCTGGGCTGCTCAGCTCCGTGCGGGAGCTCCGGCGCTGCGCGGGCGGCTTTGGCTTCGAGAAACTGAAGGTCTTGGACTTGGGCTGCGGTTCCGGACTCAGCTCCTTGGCTTTCCGACTGCTGGGAGCCGAGTCCGTCCTCTCCGCAGATCTCCAGCCGGCGTCTCTGGAGGCGGCCCGGCAGCTCCGACAGCTCTTCGACGGAGACGGAGGAGGGGAGTGGCGGCTCCTTCCTTTGTCGGTTTTGGATGCACGGTCCTTAGCTGGCCTGGGAGAAGTCGACGTCGTTTATTCCTGGGGCGTCCTGCATCATACAGGTGATGTCTGGCAGGCCCTCCACAACGCTCAACTGCCCTTGGCTGATGACGGCCTGCTTTTGGCAGCTGTATATGCAGAAGAGTTCTACGATGAGCAGGATCACATCCTGCTGATGAAGCAGTTTTACCAGAATGCAACTGCTCGCCAGCAGCAGGATCTCGAGATTGCGATAGGCACGGGAATCTGCCACTCTCATGTACCTTCATGGCTCGACTCATCGAACTCAAGGTAAGATGACAGCACATCCATAGTTCTAGGATGTTCTAGGATTGCCTGCTTGCTATGCAACAGGTCTGGAGTGGCTCCGCCCATTACTGCGGGACGGCCGAAGCCCCTTTGAAGTAATACGGAGTTTTTCCCAGATGAGAGGCATGGACTTCTGGACTGATGTTCGGGACTGGTTGGGGGGCTGGCCCATGGAGTTCGTGAGCTCCTCCGCGGTGCTTGCCTTCGCCCGCCGCGCAGGCCTCCGTTGCATTGGCCTGCGCCGCAATGGTGGAAACACCGAGTTCGCCCTGACGCGGCCCGGCCGCGGTGTCGAGAGGTGGACTCAAGGACGCCGCTGCGAGCACCTGCCTGGCTTTCAAGAGGATAAAGACGGAAGCTTCTTTGCAGTCCAGGAGTATTTTTACTTCCGATCCGACAATGTCTCTCCGAGAAGCTGGTGGTTTTGCAGGTTGCCCAAGTGGATGCATGAGTATGCCGATGGGCAAAAGGAACCTCAACAGAGCCGTCTCTTGCTTTTGACCCAGGACGGAGAACCTTTCGGTTATCCAAGTGCCCAGTTCGCCCGCCCGGATAGCCTGGCGGATCCGCGGTTGTCCTTCCATGCCTTTTGGGAGGGTGTTGCCTACGTGTCTCCAGGGCATACCCAGACGGACCTGACTGGGCTTCGAGCCTGTGTGCTGCCACCAGCCGAGCTCTCTGCCCAAGAAGAGGCAAATATTGAGGCTCACGCGCAGCGGGCTGGACTGCTCTAAGGCAGAATCGAAAACCGAGCTAACAGCTACATGTAGAAGGTGGTCCAAGAGACACCCAGACACGTGAACCGCAGGCTTCTCGGAGTCGAAGGTCCTACACTGCGCTTGCAGCTGGCACAGTGGCCATGCAGATCTCAAGCAGGGGTCAGGAAAACACGGGAAGGCAGAACTGCATGCTTTCAGCGCGTTCGAGGACTTCAAGTACGGTAATTAAGTACGGAGCATCGATACCTGCAGCTGTCGCTCCTGATTTGACAGACGATATGCGGTGTGGTAGAATTGCTCGCGGGTTGGCCAGCTGCGCTGAGCGTGGCAAGCCACGAGCGGCCACTGAACGACCAATGCCAGCGGAAACAAGCAACTCATGGTTCATCACGTCTAGCTTCGACATGACCATTATAAGTATAACCAGTCACTAGGTGATGCCCGGTGTCAAAGAAAAGGGCAGCAGCAAACGTGCAACAATTGAAAGATCTTGAGATTGTTGTGCTGATCTGGGGCTGTGAAGGTTGAGCACGAGAATCGGAGCGTGGTGGTCTTTGCTGATCACTTCACCGTCCCCTACAATCATCTAATCAAGAAGATCTCTGACGAGAAGGCTGGAGTGCCGGGTTGCCTCGTTGTGGACCTAGGACCTAGGGTCTCTAGCGAAGGCAATGCACAGCAGCGCTGCCACGCAGTGATTCCACGATCTTGTTGATTTTGTTGGCGCCTCACGAGTCTGGCAGGTTGTTGAGCGAGCGGCTTCCATCCGGAACCAGTTCAAGGGCAAAACAATCATCGGCCACTGGGATAGCAGCCTTCCTGGGTGTGGGATTTTGGAACCGGCTTCGAGCAATCAGTTGGCTGCTGGCTCTGAATCTGCAGCGGCTAGTCGCTAAGACGGTGTCGTTAAGTGGTGGGATGCTAAGGATGCAACACAAGAGTCAGTCAAGACGTATCAATGGCTTGTGAGGTGCCTATGACCGATTCGACTGCTTCAGCGGGCTAACGCTCAAGCTGCGCACTTTCCACCGTTTTTTGCAGGCGAGGAGTGCTTTGTTAGGAGATCCGGTTGCACAGATGTGGGCTACTGAATGCCGCTAAGGTGCCAAGTTGAACTGGGTGAGTTGGCAGTTTGAGTTGCCTCATGGGGTCTGGGTCAGTTCCGAGCTTCAAGAAAGACGTCCTCCCCCCCTCGCATGCGGCTTCCCAAGAGATCCCAACAGAAGGACCAAAGGGACTCCTCAGACTTTTCGCAGTTCATGATGTTGCAGACGTTGACAACAGTTGACCCTCTGGCCACCTGCAGGAGTATCGCTCGCACAGGCCAGCTGGGCAGTGGCGGAAATTGGGTGCAGTACAGTACGGGTGCACTTCTCGGATATGGTCGCAGCTAAGGCTCAGATACTCTACTGCCCTACATTGCCCTAATGTTGACTGGCTAAAACCCATGCCTGCAACGCCCGCTTGGACAAGAAACAACCATCAAACCTAGTTTTCTAGATATTCGCACAGTTTGTAACCATAGCAGCTGGACGAGCGTAGAAGGTTCGGGTTGCAACGCTGGCCGCGCCCTGAAGTCGAGACTCGTGGCATACACATACATGTATACATGCATGCATCTCCATCCATCCAGGCCTGCATGTATCATAAGTATGATGTGCATACACATGCACATACGCACGCCTACAACAAAAAAACATGTATGCATGCATGCATGCATACATACATACATACATACATACAATCATACATTCATACATTAATACAATCATACATACATATATACATACATATAGACATACAGACATACATATATACATATATGCATATAGACATGTTTATATACACATATATACTTTTTATCTATATAAGATATAAAGGGATTATATAGATATAGGTATACATATATGTATATGTACATAATCCCTACCCCCTAATATTAAACGCGGGGGCCCCCAATAGATACTCGGAAAGTGTTTTTCTTGTTAGGGGGTATTCTTATCTCTACAGTCAGATTTGGGTACAATTACAGCCGCACAGGCAGGCTCAGCAAGAGCCTGTGAAACTTGACTTAATCCTTTCAGACAGACAGGCAGTCAGGCCTGCAGATTTAGGAAAGTGTGACGCAGGCTTCGGACAGCCAGGCTCACAGACCGAGCTGTAGACAGGCCGTCGCAGCTGAGATGAGACCGACAGCTTGCATCCAGGGAGGCTCACCCTAAACCCTCAACCTTCCCCCTAATTCAGAATAGGTTTTAACGGGCAGGGGTGATTTCGGGAGGATTGGGTCCAATGTGTTTTTATTATTAGAGTGGTGTTTAATGAAAGGTGGAAGGGATTATACATATACATATACATATACATATACATATATACACATAAATATACAGATATGCATATATACATATATACATGTAGCTTACATGCACATGTGTAAGTATGTATACACATATACATGTGTATGTATATATATATATATACACACACTACCTACCTACCTACCTACCTACCTACCTACCTACCTCCCTACCTACCCATCTATCGATCTATCTATATTCACACATGTATACACACTCATTTCAGCAAGTACATGCATGAGTAAATCCTACAACCAGGTTTTGCTTCGTTGTGGACTGTTTGCTGTAGAACAAGACCTCGCATTCAGCCTGTCGGACAGTAAGAGTTGCACCTCATAGTTCAGGCGGAGTGTGGTTCTTGTGCAGTACATTCGCGGGCGTGCCACGGACTCGAAACGGAAGGGCATGGCAACTAGGCTGCAAGAGCCTTGGTGATAGTTTTGAGGCTATTTCTCAGCTTCCTTATCCTGCATAGTGGAAAGCCATGTCTCCTTCCTCCCTGGTCATTGATGGACCCCGACTTTTTGGGTAGTTTGGCTGCCAGTCGACGGTACAGCACAGATATCACACGTGTAGCTTGCCTTTGTTTGGTGGGTTTTAAACACAATCCCCGGTCCACCATCATCTCCATCTCGAGTCGAGGGAGATTGGCCTTGCATTAAGGTGAGCATTGAAGAGCTTCGGCAGATGGCGGCTGCTGCCTCAGCGGAGTCTGTGCGCTTGGGGGACGCCGAATGTCTCTCGTGTTGCGGAGTGCTAGAAAGATGCCTACGGCCGCTGTTTCAAGTCTGAACTTTGTTGTCGCGATGTTTAGCCAGAAGCTTATTATTAGAGTCAAAACTTGGGCAGCATTTGCATCCCGGACGATGCCACTCCAAGTGAAATTCATCTCACAATCGTGCCTACACGGCTGCCAATCATAATGGTATTCCTTTGTCAAGCATCCGCTCCGTTGTGTCGTAGTCGTAGACAGTCGAATGTAGCCCTGGGGTACCAACAGCTATCGGTTCGGAAGGGTCCTCATCTGTGCGGTTGTGCTTGTGGCTGCTTGCTGTTTGCTGCCAGCCAACCCATCGTGCATCGGAAAAGGACGCCACCAACAAAGCCTTCGGTGTGGAAGGGGAGCCGCCACTGGTCACTATCGTTGTGGAGGCACGCCAGAGACGCGAGCTGACCCGCACCAGATTGAAGCCTCAGCAAAAATTAAAAAGCAGTCCAAAACTAAGACGTGAAAGATTCCTGTCAGTGCACCCGCAGCGTCAACAACAAACAAAGCCAACAACTTCACATTCCAAAGAACTGCAAGGATACGACCAGAGAAAAGCAGCTTGGAGTCCTCTTGGCTACCTGGCGTCTGAGTTAAGCGCGGGCTTGTCAGGTAGAGCTTCGAGGCTGTTGAGGTTGTATGAAGTACTCCAAGCAACCTCAGGAGCTGAAAAACGGTTGAAGAGCTATCATATGCTATCGAGTTCTAGTGGTTGTGGGCACAGTGGCATCATGCCAATGCTCGCTTCACACGGTTTGCCCAAGCCAACTTTCTGCCTTCAACTTCTCATCAATGTCTTCGTTCCAGGAGCCTGAAGCTATCCGAAGCCCCGAGACAAGATCAAAAGACTAGAAGCTTCAAGGCGACAGACATTCTGCTGGACACCTCCACGAACGATGGCTTGAACCTCATTCCATTCAACTTCTATGCGGCACACTCGCAGGAGGGTGTTCTGCCTTTGCACAGAGACGGACGGACAGACAGGCAGGCAAGTAGACGAACAGAGACACGCAGAAGCAGACCCAAGGCGAACACAGACCTACATAGACATACAGAGACGCGGAAACAGATAGACAGATGTACGCACACTGTCACCCAATCCGTCCGTCAAGCAATCTGAAGAATTGCTCCGGACAAACTCCAACAGCACAGCCATTGCATGGCCGTCTGCTTCCAGTGTCAGACAGCAGAGGACCAGAAAGGCGTGGCGTTGATCTCCGAGTTCTGCGGCTGCTCCTCCGTGTTAACAGGTGGCTGGAATGCAGCTTTTGTGGTGGCACATCTGCATCCTCGATGCAGCCTTTGCTCTCACTTTCGTTTGCTGCGCTGCGAGGTGCCTTCAAGATCAATCCTTGGAACACCGGTGCTGCACCGAGCTCAGAAGAGAGAGGTCGACTCTCCCACGGTGGGGTGGCGACGGCAGCAACCGGCACTCAGGTCCTTACCGCCCTGGACCAGGCGATCAGCAGCTCGGGCTCTGGAGCTGTATGCTTGGATCAGCCGTAATTGGGCTCTCGGTTGGGTCGCAGACCCCGCGCAGTGACAGGGCGTTCTGCCGTTTGCCTTTTGCGTGCCTTGCAGCATCGACCCAATCTCCTCCTTCAGAGAAATTCCGCATTCTTGACGAGATGACACTCTGAGCCCTTCCAACAATGAAGGGAACGAGTCTCCTCGTCTGTCTTTGTGATGTCGTCATTGTTTTCTGAGTCAAAAGCACGCAAGGTATCACTCCGGAGGACCAGGCCTTGCGATTCACCAAGGCTTCTTGGTTCAGTGGGATATCATGGGATATCTATGTTGCGTGGATGTTTGGATCGATGCAGCTTAGGCCTTAGAGGCTTGGAAGTCTTAAAGGTCAAGGAGCAAGTCGTGTTTGGAAATAATCCAAGGACCACTCCTACGTCTCTTCGCAGACGCTTGTTCAGCTCCTGAGCTAAAGAAGCTGCGCTAAGTTCTTGAGAGACTTCGCGATTCCTCCACTTAATTGCCCTTCGTGATGACCTCTTCCGAGCAATGGCATTGTCAGGTGGGTCCACAAGAATCTGTCTGAACTGAAGGTCACCAGGAAGCTGAGCTGCTTTTGATTCTCTCAAGCGCGGCAAAATGCATGGAACACACGTATCTGTTTTCGATACAGTCCAGGAATAGCAGAGAGCTGACGTACCGCGCATCAATGGCAGGCCGGGAGACAGACACTGACACCTTCCCAATTCGGGATTCTCGACTGTGTTTTGCAGGTCCTGTGCACCTGCCTGCGGAGGAAGTGCTCCAGCTGCATGCAGCCACAGATCAAGAAAATTCGACTGCAGGTTCCACGTCGAACGCATCATGCAACGGCCTGCATGTTGCAGACCTGTGCAGATAGTATATGTTGCAGCGGTTGGATTTATTTTCACCGTTCGACTTCGGATGACCGAGACTTGGACTGATCAACCTATCATGCGAGTGGAATTGCTGAGCTTGTGCCCGGTTTCTCTGAGGTCGCAGCCGCTTACAATGCCGCGAAGAAGCGAGCAATCTTCCTTGACAACGAGGCTGATTCTGGGTAGCTTAGGACAGTTTATGCTACACAGGCGGTGCAGTGCAACAGATGATGGTAACTGGAAAGATGGCCCCTTGCAATCTTGTGTCAGGGGACTATTGCAGCCAAGCAGAAGTGGCAAATTGAGCGGCATTCTCAGTAAGAGTGGATGCAGAGGAAGTTCCTGCGGATTCTGGCTTTGCTGCAACTCTCTTGCCACCCTTATGGCTTCAGGTCGACCACAATGGTGGCATTGCAGAAGCAAGGCGCTTTGTGCCAGCATCTGGGGGCTGCAGAGACATCCGAGCCGTTCATGGATTACTTGCTCCAGCGTCAAAGCTCGAGCTTGTGCCCGTGGCATGTAGGGCAGACCGCACCAGTTGGATCAGGTAAGGCGTTACACAATTGGGATCACAAGTAAAGCCATAGGGCAAATGGATTGGTTGTGGGTGACACTAAAGTCGGCAGGACAGCCTCCGGACCCATACGTCGTCGACCTGCTGCAGACCTTGGTCAACGATCGTGGGAACACCGTTGTTGCCCCATCCTCGGGAAAAAGAGGGCCTCGCTTCCAGCCAAGTGCAAGTGCCGGAGAAGATGAAATCACGTCTCTGCAGTTCAGCACGAAGGGCGAAGCATAGCGCTGTGGGAAATGCCGGTGTGGATGTTGAGAATCTCTAGGGCAGAATGCCCACCAAAGCCCAGAAAGTGTGCCAGCAGAAACATCAGTTTTCCGATGGATGGTTGCCGAGGTCCTGTCGGGTCGCAACAAGCAGGTCATGGAGGCCAAGACAGGTATGAAATGTTTTTACCAGGCTGAGGCATCTGCATGACAGTCTAGTAGTGAGTCATGTCATGCTGCAGCATGCCAACCGTCCCTTTGGGGGATAGGTCCAGAAGCCCATAACCCTTTCAACACCGGTGTGCCTCCTACAGACGTCAAAGTCCTTTTGGGCGCTGAAACAGCTATCATCTTTCGGATGCGGAAGGAGTGGTTTGGATCTGTTGACGGCCTCGGCCTCTTCGCCGAGCATGGCTTTCACCGGCTCCTTCCGCGCACGCTCCGAGAGGCGTCTTTAGGGCATCGGAAGTCACGTGAGGTGTTGCGGTGGCACCAAGACGGATCAACTCCTTTGCCGCCACTGTGAGGCACAGCAGCAGGACGGAAGCGAGCGAGGATGGAAGTTCCTCGGCTGTGATTTGGCAGAGTAGATGGGAAAGATCACTGCAGAACCATGAGTGCTCACGGTGTTAGTGACTTCGTTAGGCTGCTGAAAGCACAAGAAGCCCTGGACCCAACCATATTGAACCGATCCATCTTCTCCATCCCTGAACCAACAGCGCGAGCGATGTCATCCAGTAGAAATCTTCCATGCAATTCGGACGGCTTGGGGCTGCTGGTGGGAGGTCTTCAGCCATTGCGGACAACAACCAGGAGTGGAAGGCGGATCCGGGCAAGTGAAGTAGTGAAATCCATGCAAGCGGGAGCACCTGGGCTCTGCCAGGCAATCGTACCCATGTCTAGGGCCGGTGGAGCATGCCCCCAGAGTTAGGGGAACCAGGGCACAGAGACATTCCACCCAGGACAGTGAGCTCACCGCCCCAAATTGGCAGCACGCACGAGGATCTCTGCATTGAGCTCATGAAGCAATATGTGCAGCGCATCCAGGGCAGCGTCCTGGAAGCAAAGGCAGGAAGTTCTGGGGGGGCCTTACCAAGTTCACGGAGCTCCAGCCCAGAGACAGATGACCGGTGCTCGCCACGGCACAGGCATGTGCCATTTCCTGGAACTACCGTGAGGCCAGGCTTCCAAGCTGGGGAAAAGAGATCGCACAACTTCGAAGTGAACAGGTCGGTGCCACGGGAGTCATCGACGATGTGGCTCTTGAGCTGGTGCGGCGCTTCAGCTAAAATTCAGGACACCTCGCCCCTCGAGCCTGCCCGTTTTGAGTGACTGGAGGGGAGGCGGTCGCTCCGCGACACTCTGCCACAAAGGTTCTTGGATCCAGAGGTGCCCACGGGACTACTTCACGGATATCCCGCCTCCTGCCAGCAGACAGACCAAATCAGACGGGCCTACGGGGGCCGTGGCTCTCAAGGTGAAGGTCATCATGGGCAAGGGCTACGTGGAAGTGAAACGTGCAGACGTCGACAAGGAGCTTCGCCCTGCACTGCAAGCCCCTTTGCATTCCTTCGTGGGTTGCGCCGAAGGGCGCTAGGCAAGAGCAGCACCAGCGAAATCAGGACAGAGCCAAGAGCACCCGAATTCGTCTACGTTGCATGTACGCAGACTAGTTAACTAGTTGTCTCAACACCTTTCTTGCCCCTTTTTAATTAGACCACAATTGAAATTCTGAAATGGAAGCTTCACGAAACAGATAAGGGCCCCTGCTACAAACTGAGGCGACCTCATTGGTATCAGAATCCCGGGCCCTAAAAGCATTTTGCAGGGCCGAGCCGTCATTCAGACCTTGGAAGAGCTGGGCAGCGTTGACTTCGCGGCTCAGCTGCGCCCAACGACACTGACCGGTTTAGGGCCGTTTAGGGCTTAAAGTTTGAGTCACAGGTCACGCGCAAGTAGAGTTTGCAGACATAGCCTTGATCCGCGTTTGCTACCATGTAGTCACCAAGTTTCTGCGCACACCTGCTGTCCCAAACATGCAGCCTCCATTCCAGAGGTCCTCAGCATTGGTGACGATCGATCCGATGAGGATATGCCGCTTTCTTTGCCTCAGCTGGAGGGTCTTTGGAAGTTACATTTGGTGGCTCTTGTATGACTTCCAGAACTCTCGACGGAAAGTCTCCAGAGACCTTCAAGCCACAACATGGTGGCTGCTTTGTGCGGGCGTCTGCAAATGTTTTCGGTCCCAGGTTCGGGGCGATTTCGGACTACTTCAAGCGGGCCCGCACCTGAGCAATTTGGCTTCCTTGCAGCGCCCTGAGAAGAGATTGTAGGGTTTGTAAGTTGTGATTGTTCATCAATGTGGCGAGAACGGTGAGATGGTCGCGATCTTTATGCAGCCCTAGAGCTGGCATGGCACTCAACACAAAGACATTCTGAACACCACAGCTGAGTTGGGCTGTGTAGTTTTCGATATTTGGTATTTTGATCAACTGCGAGCGCGAATAAGTCACACGTCCCAAGCACTGTTCTTTTTGCGAGATGTGTAGCAGTCTCGGCTTGCGGACCATTTCCGTATTATTGACAAAAGACTCTGAAGACTTAAACCCGGTTCTGCGCGTCCGCAAGCAAACACAAGAATCGACGCATTGCGCTGTTTGGCTGGAGCCTGCCGCAGAACGGGGACGCCTCTGCCGCGCTCTCCGCCAACCCATCGCAGAGCTCGCTCAGACGAGTCGGCGCCGGCGCTTCGCCGCTTCGTTGCTACCAGAAAAAGATACTTTTCTGCTGGTGTTCGTTTGTGTTGTTGTATCTTGTTCGCTGTGCTTGACCAGGTCGATGGCCTCTTCGCTCGACGGTCTAGCCCCATCGCCCAACGATTCACCCAATCTCTCACCAAAGGCCCGCCTGCTTTGATGCATGTCTTCGCATGCGGTCACCTCGACATTTTGCAGCCTCAGCCTTTGCGCACATGCCGCGCAAGGACAAGAAGGCCGTTCGCTCCGTGAACTTTTGTGACAAGGGGGTTGCGCCCTCGGTTGGGTCTCGTCTGACAGCTTACCCTGCAAGCTACAGTCGGTTTGCTCTTCACTGTGACTTGGGCGCTCACCAGATGTTCCAGCGATTCGGAAAGCAGAACCCATCCTCAAGGACGGTACGACCTCAGCGCCCTCGCAATCCAACCTCTACCGCATGGCCGGCAGCTGCAGTCAGGGGTCCTCTTTGCAGATGCACTCTTGGGTTTTTGGGCGCCTGTCCATTCGGGGCTCTTTAATTCCGGGATGGTGAGTGAAGCACAGGCCGCTGGAGGGTCAGCTTCTTGTGCTTGTGCAGTCCTCATCCACCTGCTGGTTCACAGCGACTGTGGGGCGCAAGACCACGCAGGCAAGTCAGGGCTTGGAGGGAAGAGAATGGGGCCTGCCAGGCTCCTTTGGACTTGACCGAAATGTCGTTTTTGGAGGAAGCAGCATTCTGTTGGTCCTTGCTACTTGGTTTGAAACGGAATCTAGATGAATCTAGACTTCCAGCTCTGAAAGAGCCATTGAGATTTTTGTTGGAGGAATGGGAGCGTCACGTTGTCCCGAGATCCGTTCCAATCATACGTTGCGAACAGCCCATGCTGCTGCATCCTTCTGTATGTAATACCCACTTACAACGGCGGCAATGCTCACGCAAAGCGCAGCAGTTGTCGGCCACCCTTTGCTTCTTGATCTTGTTCATCCTGCACCCACACAGACCTATCTTCCAGGCAAGGCATTTCTGTGCAGACGTGGACGAAGTCACACAGCTTCTGAAGAAGTTGCTCGGCCAGTGCTGCATTTGTAGTGCCTCCAACAGTCTCCTGCCGACAATCCAGAATTCCACAGCGAGAGAGAGGGAGAGAGTGTGTGTGAGCTGGCGACGATATGTTCTGTCATGACGGTGGGGAGCTGGGCAAGTGCGTTGAAGAAAGCATCGCTAAGCGTTTTCCTTTCGGCACATGGATGAAAGTTCATGAACAGCCTGGGCTTATGTACTGTGGTAAGGAGATCAAAGTTGTCCAGAAAGATGGAGAGACATGTGTCACACTTGCTCAGAAGGCTTTCACCGATGGGCGTCTCCAGCCCATGAAGGTAGAGGCCTCCCGCACGAAGCAACCGGATGCCAGGACCAACCAGGCTGAGATGAACGACTTCAGGTCCATCGTGGGAAGTCTCCAATGGCTCGCTGTCCAGCCACGCCCTGGCTTGCTTTCGAGCGCAACCAACAGCAGTTCCGGGTGTCGGATCTTCGCATCGCCGATCTACTTCGAGCCAACAGGGCTGTTCGCAGGGAGACTCGAAATAGGACCATCTTGAGCCATCTTGTTCAAACCTCTCGGATACGATGCCGAGCTCGTTGCATACCACGATGCTGGGTTGTACAGCAGTGTAGATGCTGAGTTGGATGAGCAGCAAGGCGACGATATCCTTCAAAGTAGCCTAGATAAGAAACTCGTGTACTCCCAAAAAGATGCTATGGTCGCCTTCGCTCGAAAGGGAGATATGGATCAAGAGAGACGGGTTCATCTGAACGTTGTTGGACTGTAAGATACCATACACAAAGATGGCCAACATGTCGGAGAGAAGGGTAACATTGTTCACGCAGTTCTCCTCCGGCAACTTCTGGCTACGAGGAGCCAAGCCGAGAATCCTGGGGAAGCGAAGCTGATGTGGGTCCCCAGGTGTCAGCTTGCCGAGGGGCTGACTAAGACGGCGCAAGAGGGCCTGACATTCGAGAGCAGTTTCGCGAGGAATTACTGTTTCACGAGCGGGCATTGAAGAAGCGAACAGGAGTACGAAGGCCAACAGGTCAGAAAGAGAGTTACACTGGTGTGAATGTGCATAGGGAATCCTGACCTGTTGGTGCGCTCAGTTCTTTGAAGCCCAGCTTTGTTAGTTCAAGCCAACCACTCAAACCGCAGCCGGAGCGGCTCTTGGTGACGCAGAAACATGTTGCGAGCAGTGTTGCGGCGCATGCGGGTTGCACTTGTGCTTCAGTGATTTGCAGGAAGAAGCAACGAAAAGCACTTCTGCTTGCCGGCACCTACATGCAGGGGGCTAGGTTTCAAGTGAAGTGGCATGTACAGTGAACCCATTGAGTATTGGGGATGCCCACCATCCTGCCCAAAACACGAAAGGGCGAGGACGTCCACAACCAGCTGGACCTACACGTGGGCTTGGGCACTGCGTCCGACTTCCCGAGAGAATCAAGCACGTCACAAACGAATTGAATTCCGTAGGCTGATTGCCATGCATTTGCCTGGCCGGGAAGAAGTAGGTTTTGAAAACACTCCGGTGACTGCAAAAAGTGGTGGAACCAGCGACGGTAGAAACAACCGGGCTCCCAACTCGGTGATACGATGAAGAAGATCTCGGTCAGAAAGGTGAGCAAGCATCTTACATTGCACGATGCTTATGGTCAAGTCAGGTTCATAAGTGGCACAACTTCTTGAGAATGCTCCAAAGGGGGGGGCAAAGGGTAGAGAACCAACATGCAGGGCCAGGAAATGCCGCTGCATGATGGTGTCGCTACGGTCAGTCTTTCGGACAGACGGATTTGAGATCGTTCAATCCCCTGGCTTTTTGCTCGTTTGGTCAGCATCGCCGATATCTTCCGGAACTATATACAGGGTTGCCCGACGGAGCTGCCGACCCCACTGGCATGCACACACTTCCATCCGAATCCGCCCACTGGAGCATGGTGGAGTTCGGCGGTCAGCCCTCGCGGATTTGGTGATCTGCTTGACTTCGCATGTTTGCGGGGCCTCGCTTGTGGGCTGGCATCAACCATCGACAGGGCAGGGCCTGAGGATGCTCGGGCCTCTGAACCGCGAAAGACAGGGCAGGAGATCACAGCGTGATCACGGAAGATGAACCCCATTCGAGTGAGAACTTCAACAAACACAATGCTGCGGTTGGCATCAATCGAGGTCCCTGAACCACATGGATATTAGTAATTTTCAATTAGTGCTCATCCAGATCGACCACATGTTCAGTGAGCCTGCCCAGATGCCTCCCCCGCCTCGTCAATCATGCTTCTCAAGCTCTGGCGGCTTTCCCGAGCATCTCCCAAGGCTGGCTTCCAAGGCAATTGCGCCACGGCTGCAGTCAGTTTTTCTCCGTCGAAGCTTGCAGCTCATTTGGACATGAGTCTGCTTTGTTTGGCTGGGCAAGCCACGAGGAAGTGCCGGCGACATGTCATGCGCAACTTCGCCAGTTGAGATGCGGTATCCATGAACCCTCCGTATCACGCGACACAGTAGCCCAGCCGCGGCAACCAGCTCTGTCATGCACGAGCTTGTGCACACAGTACTTTTGCTTGCATCAGTGAGTGGCTACCTCGCAAGTTTCAACCCTTGCCAGATGGGCTCATTCTCTCGGTTCGCATCCATGCCGCTCATTGCCCCAGACAGCGCTCCTTGGAAAGATATGGTCATGGCATGCCACGGCGTTCAGGCAGAAATCGCTCACTGCCAGGACCAAGACGATCACGAAGACTCTCAAGACGAGCGCCCAGATGCTCCTGGTCCGGAGTAACCCGAGGGCAACGACGTGGGGAGTGGCATGCTTATAGCAAGCCGAGCAGTTTAGGAGGACGTGAGGTGCTGACAGGTGCAGACAAGAGCAAAGAACGTCAAGTACTGTTCCATTGGGCACGGGTCGGAGCATGATTGAATGCAGAGGTTACTGCGGTTGGCCGCGCGACCACGCACAGCAGCGTGACTCGGCATGATTTGAGAGCTGGCACATGCATCAGGACATTCGGCTATCTGCTTGGGCGTCACCATAGCTACAGGGCTTACGCAAGCCATCCTCTACATTCCGGAAGCCTGCGTTTTGCTGACAAGTCAACCTTCCCTCTACCGTCATCCCATAGACCCAATGGCCACTAGACTCTAGACTAAAGCCCTCCATTTCGGACTCTACCACTCCACTTGCTCAGTTTCTGAAGAAGCCTCTCAACAAGACGGACGTGTGAGCGCAGCATGCTAGAAGGAGCAAGTCGTGGTACTCTGGCGCTTCACAAGACATGGTCTGGACACTGCGCTCTGGCCATCTTCTGTCTCCATTCGAATCATTTGAAGACGAGGCTTCGATGAAAGGCCACTTGACCCATGCGCTTGGGAAGTACAGGACCTTACGCCTTGTGCTCTGGGAGTGAACAGTATTGGAACCAGACCGGGGTGATGCAGTCTGGACTCCTAGCAAATTCGGATTAAGAAGACGGTGCATGGAGGGGCACCATACACTGCCATCGCCGGAAAACTTGTCAGCATTACTGCAGCTTGTTGAGGTAAGGCATCTTGAAACTTCACAACAGGCTGAGTGTTCTCCTGTATTTCCCATGCAGCACAAGCTGTGACAAGCTGCACAGCAAGCTCGGTGCGCCCTCTGGGCCGTGCTCAACACCCTGCAGCAAAAAGACGCCTGCGTTCTGCCAAGCACAGATGCTTTGACTCCGATGTCACATCTTCAATTGAGCATCGCTTCTCAGGTTTCGTCTTGCAGCATCTCTTCTAGTTGTACAACAGATGGCGTCTCGGCCGGATTGCCTTCTGTGGGTTTCAAATCCTTGCCGTCGTGATCCACACAAGAAGAGACAAACACAACTGAAACCATCGACTGCTGTTTGCCTGCCATGTTTTTGGTGACCCTCACATTCAGGCCATAACGTTGACCGTGCATGACCGTGGAGGGCTACTCGTAGTAGCAGAGGGTGAGATTCGAACACCTGCAAACAATTCTCACGAGTCGGCTTCCAAGGCACAGGCACTCGGTATCTTTTGCCGCAACCCCATGGAAAGTCCCTTCCAGAAGAAGTACCAGCTTAACTCTTGAATGCAGCAGCAGACGTAGTGAAGTCTACGTCCACAAGCGGTCTTCGAAGTGGTGCCACATTTCTTCCCCGGATAGCTTTAGCTATTAGGGGGTCTGGCTAATAAATAAGGAGCCCGATGTGCCCACCGCCGGCAAGCGGGCATGCCCTCTAAATCCAACCTGATCAGTAAAACCTGCACAGTAAGACGCCAAAAGTCATTTTCAATTAAAGCAGACAGGAAAGCCGCAAGAGAAAAGCGAATGAGCAGCTTGCAGTTGCAGCTGGGCTTTTTGGCCTCACATGGTTTATATGCGGTTTCAGTCAAAGCCGATGGTTTCACCAAGGCCTGCCCATCTGCTCCGAAATTGAAGAGGCCGCGCCAGAATACGCAGTTGGAAATGACACAGGGAGATATAGTCTCCATTCCTGAAGTTGCACAGGACTCAGCACGTTAGGTTGATTGTAGGTCTCAGTGCAAAGGTGTAAAGCTTTGATGGCAGTTCGTGGAGTAGGTGAATGTGTGGATGAGTCGGTGTATGTGATCCACGGTGTTTCACAGGATGTGAAAGTTGATTATTTTCCTTGCACTTTGCATCTGACATTGTCAATCTTAGTGCCAGGCAAAGCAGACCTTCATGACAGCGAAAACCGCCGTCTTTCAAGGGACAGCACTTTGTCTCTTGGCACTGAGCTGGGGGGTGAAAAGGCTCTCTGTGTGCACCGGTAGTGCAGAGCCCGTTATCGGAGTGACGGCTTATTTGTTGCTGGGAAGTGCTTCGACCGGCCGAGACATGCGGAGGCATTTACTTGAGGAGTCTCGGAAGCGTTCCCTGAGCTCGTAGGGTCGTAGGCCCCCTCCTGGTTCCCACAGATTCGAGTCATTGAGTCATTGCATTTTAAAAGGCGGCATTGGCATAAGCCAGAAGTGGCCTTCACGCAACCCGCTGGTTCGAGGTGTACAGATATTCGTGCAAGGCTATACGCACCATATGACTTCAAGAACGCACCATGCATGGCGCAACCGGAACTGACGGTGACCCACATCAACTGAGCAAGAGTGGTGCTGTGAGTCTATGAGTGAACATTTCAGAAGAAGTACAGGGAAGGGCAGGAAGGATGCCTTCGAGCCATGTCAGGACCGCTTGCAGAGAGAGAGTCTGAACACCGCAGCACCTGGCTCATCCCAAAAATCTCCAAAAAGAATCCTTGTAAGTCGTCACTTCGAAGGAGCGAGTTTCGGCCTGTGGCCCTCAGGACGGTCCGTGTTGGCCTCAAGGGGTTAAGCCTGCAGCTGTCACAACAAACCCAGTATCGCACCGCTTTGTGGGGTCAGCAAAATGTAGCAGTGCCTACCGCGGCAAGATCCCCGCACCACAAATCTGGAGTGCTGCTCAGCTGCTCATGAAGGGCAAGTGCTTGGTACGTAGAAGTTTTATCCGTTAGAAGAAGGCAGCGCCCTGCCATTGACAGTTGACACTTCCAGGCTTCGTTCGCTGCAGGGAGGCGCTGGTGCATAAGCCTCCTTCTAGAACAGCGGACATTTGTTCTGATAAGCCAGATTTACAAGTTGCCACGTTCAGAGATTCCGGATTTCATAAGCTCTTGTTAAGGACTGTGAAGGGTGTGGTCTGGAGGCCCGAAAGCCGACGAGCTTCATCCACACAGGTGCGGATAGGTTTTTTCTCTGCCCCACGTGGCCGGAGCCACTGCATAGAATGTGAATAAGACATGCACTTCGAAGATTGGGGTGTCAGCACTGTGACATGACGGTTCAGCCCTCCGCAGCCTGACCCCAACAGCCTGCTGTCCTGTCCAGGCTGGCGGCGCTGATCCGCAGGCCATGCGTTGCCGTGGTTGCCAGATGGGCACAACACACACACACACACACTCTC